ATGTTTAAAATTATGTCCGTTAGAAAAGGGTATAGCAGCTTGTAGATAACGAAGCCCAATACTTGGTGATATGTAGAATTTCAACAATTTCCTTTCTAAAGTTATTATTTTTTGAATTTAATGACTTTTTTTAGGAAACATATAACATCAAATATGATCCATCAGCCCATCTGGAACTCAATCTGGAATTACAATTGGAGAAAGGATCGTTTAATGGACCTAATAAAAATTGAGTTAATGGTATCTCAAATACTACAATCGACGACTTGTTGATGACTCGAAGTGTTTCAACCATTGGATACTTGCAATCGTTTTTAAGCGCTCAAACTCTGGAGTTCTATATGGGTGATACATATGCTCCATCTTATCCTCCCCTCATCCTGACAAAGACCCTCCTCCTCCGCCAGCCCCTCTCTTCTATATGAATTGTATTTGAACTAATAAATTTTTAAATCTATAATAAATATTTGATTTTTATTTTAATTTTTTTCTACTCGGTTTATTACATTTTGAAAAAACATATTTTACTAAAATTACTGACGATCTTACCGACAAATTAAATTCATCAATATATTCTCGAGAGTTAGAAAAACATTACTAAAAATGTTGTTGCCACTGTTTAATCACCAACATAATTAACTCGTCGATAATATTAAAAAACAATTGATGGAATAACAAAGAGTTTTTTTTGTCAATGAAATATCATTTTGAATGATGGAAGTACAATCAGAATAAAATAGGTGAATTTTTTTGTTTGGAGTGCTTTTTTTGTTTGTAAATTTATCGGTAATTAAATTATCAATGCACTTTTAAGTACTAATCACCTAGCAAATAATAATTGTTTATGAGCTCATTGATAAAAATCATACTAACATAATCATTGTTTAACTACTAAAAAATATACCATAGATGAAATATAAAATTCTGGTAGTGGATATATATTATAATTGTTTGGTAAAGAATAAAATTAATTATACATTATATTTTGATACAAATTTTAATGTTAAATGAATTAATTTGCAATAGAAATTAGTCACTATGGAATATATCTAATTATCAAAATCAACTATTCAGTTTTTTTTAATATATTATGTATCATTAATTTGTGTATCTATTATTTTTCAACGCAAACTCTTATAATACACACACAACTCAAACTTTCGTTAATTATTAATTTATAGGTTATCATTAATATATTAGACGTCTTTTTTGTGCTATTTAGAAATTACATAAAACAACAAAAAAATATCAAGTATTCTTTTAATTATTTTAAATATTTCACAAATAAGAATAATTTGATGTTTTTTTTTGTAATTGTTTAATTTGATCCTTTTTTTTTGTTTTGTTTTGTATGGATATTTTTTTATGATGTTATATCATATATATTATTTTGGATTCCATAAATGCCTTGATGAGACTAATTCATAATGGAAATTTTATCTTTCATAAGCTAACGGAAATTTTATTTTTTAAAAGCTTGGGGTTGTTATCGTGGATATCAAAAGCGCACTAGTTAATAATATTTATCAATTATAAAACATAAATAGACTGTTATCCATGCATGATGTCATGACAACGAGATGAAGCCTTGAACAAAAAAAAAAAAGAATTGTTAATATATAAAAATAATGTAACCTAATAAAAGTAAGCAATTCATCATTACATTTAAAAAACATTAGGTGCTAGTAGCAAGCCGGCACATGCATTGTTGTGGATCTTCTTAAATACTTGTTTTGATATATTTTTCAATTTACTCGATCCAATTAAAGTTTAAATAAGAAGAAATAAAGTTCAATAAAGTTAATTTTATATGGAATAAGTAAATAAATACATTAATTTTATTCTGCATGGGCTACTCTACGGGTGAGGTTAGCATATTTCTAGGAAAATACTTGTTAAAAAGATTACTTTTTGTAGGTATGTAACATACCTTTAATTTATTAGGTTAGAAAGTTTTTTTTATTTTAAATTGGTGTATACTATTTTATGATGGAAAATATTACAAATTATAGTGATATATAGTTAAGAAAATGTATTGGAAACCCTTTAGTTTCTTGAAGCTTGTTTAGTAAGAATAAAATTAATCAAATTAATGTTGTACTATTTAATACTGTATTTGAACTTTTTAAACAAGAGTATCATACTTTTAAATGAAGTGTAAATTTAATTTAAAACCTAAGAATATGGTAAATATTTTTTTAATGTTGTATAACGAACCAATAAATAATGTTTAATTTTAAAAAAAAATACTTTGAAATGATTTTAAAACAAATAATTAATGAAAAATGAAGAGTTGGGTTTGCATGGACTAGGTCGACTCATTATTGGCGTGGCACCTAGGTCTGCCTTAAAAAACTTTAGACGTATCAACTTCTAGCAAATTTGATTGCTAGAAAATATGGGTCTGTTGTTGTTAGCCTCCAAAACTTATTTTCATCATTACGCTTTAAAACACATTAAAATTATCTTAATTATACATTTGATGTCAATTCGATTTGAGAGGGAGATTATGTGTTGGAATCAAACAAGCAAAGATTACAATCATCCAATAAACAGCTGAAACTTTTGATTGTGCAACCATTAATCACTTGAATAACCACAATCAGCCAACAAACAGCCATTATAAGGATTAATTGTTCTTTCCTCTTTATCTAGTCATTAAAATTAGTTAAATTCCTTGAAATTTAGGTTGAAAATTGATTTTACTATTTTCATAACTCTTTTATAATTTAAACTTTAATGCAACTTAGATTTTATTTCTGAGTTAATTATGGTAATATTCAAACATTAAAATTATATTTTTTTATTTATGGCATGTTAAAAATTTGATTTGCACTTTTCTTAAATCCAGAGGCTTGCCATTTATGTATTAGACTTTTAGTTTTGGTGGGATACTCAAGCATATAAAATAAAAATATTAACGTTAATAGCAAATATTTTATGAAGTCCTTAACGATTCTTCTAAAATGATCCTTAATACACTTAATTATGCTTAAAACATGGTAGAAAAAGCATACCATAAGAGGAATAAAAAGATATTTGTTTCATGCTTATCAACAAGTTTGTTGAGTTTTTATTTATATTTGTATCGTGATAATGTCATCTTAATAACATAAATTCATTAGATAAATCTGGATGTTCTTATTATGTTTTTATACAAAATAATTTCCTTGAAAACTATTTACTTTCTTTTATTTTTTTATCAAATTTCTTCTTCAAGAATGTTTTATTTTATCTTAGTGAGATTTAATCTCCATCTCCATTTGGGTTGACCTAGGAATCAAAACCATAGTGTTCCTGAAGTCCAATTTTGTAGTACAAGGATTAATTGATATGTTTTAACCACGTAAAGTAGTCTGGCTTATGTCATCCACAAATTTGGAATTAGATATCCAAGTGGTGTGTTTTATTGGTTGCATTTAATTGTTTGCAGCTACCAGTCTCAAAAATACAAAAAGATGGCAGCTACTAGTCAGACACATACAACTACTATTCTTTCCATACTTTTTCATCTTTCATTTTTTGACTCTCAACTTATCATCCACACAATCAGAAGAGTTCATCCAAGCAAGCTGACAATTCAAATTAATATGGCAGCGCATCTGACAATTCTAGTGTTAGTGATGTACCAGGTATGTAGAATAGGACAGCAGAAGAGAACAATTCAAACCATATCTACCTTTGTAATAAGCCTCTGTTGCCCCGGAGCAAGTCTGGGTGTGCTTTGTCGTCTTACAAGAGCAAATACTAAATTATTACAATTGGAAGAGCAGTCAGTATTGTCAGGAAGATTCATAGGTTTATAATAGTATATAATATGCTGAGTTTTAGTTAATTTAACTTGGATTCTCTTGTCTTGAATTCTCATAGTTTGAATATCTTTTTTGCAACGATAAAAAAAAGTTTAGCCTTGCTAATAATATAGCCCGAGCCACCTACCTCGTGTATATAAATATATAAAAAAGAATCTTCTTCTTTCAACTCGGACTAATAAGGACAAGAGGAGCATAATAGACACATTATAATTCATTTTTTTTAAATGTGCCATTTAACAGGAGGCAACAAGATTATCTGTTACCTTAACTTGTTATGTATTGTCGGCAGGTATAGAGCCTTTGATCAGGTGTGAGGAATATTATTTTGAAGGTATTAATTATTTTTATTATATTTATTATAGGATTATAGTAATATACCTTCGAAATATAAAAAGAATCTTAAGTTTATAGAAAATAGCTTTTATAAATTTCTTAAAAATTTCTGTTTTGTTTTTTATAAATATAAACAAAGAGTTTGCATAAAAAAAATTTATTTATTTTAACAACAAATTGATATTTATAAATAAAATAATATCCTTTCAGACCAATATATCTATAAAATTTAAAAGCATGTCTCTTCATACCAATATATATGTAAAGTTTAAAAAGAAACTTTTTATTCAAATTATTTCAATAATTTAATAGGGGGTGTCATATATAATGGTTAGATTAATTAGTTTTAAAAATTTAATTAACTTAAATTAATTAATTTAAAAAATAATAATAAAAATAATTTATGTTACATAATAGTTACAAGCACCATCATATCTATCAATTTTGATTATTTTTTTTTTCAAATCTTTCTCAACATCAAAATCTATTGATTTAGTACTGTTCTCACATTATAAGATATAACAAAATCTTTTTTTTTTTTCAAAATAGAATAAAATTTTCATTAACCATCTAATATACAAACTATATTTTAACGACAGTAAGATACTCTGAATGGTGCGTATACAAGTTATAGATTGGGTTGTTCGCACACGATCTTCCAGCGAGACCAACCATTCTTCGTTGCTACCTTTTGTTTCTCTATTAACCAATTCTGATTTTCTTATAAATGAATGCCCACAGAAAGAACAGAGAGAAAATAGACAAACTGACACACTGCACTCCTACCCAAGCGTCACAATGGGTCTCCCCTCCATTTCTCTCAGTTGACATTAGTCCAGCTTCGAAGGAAACTTCAGTCGGTTAATTCAGCCCTAAAGAATACTTAAACGGTACGCATGCAACTTACGAAGAGTAAATGCTTAATTTCATTGCTCCTACGCTACCATTATTCTCTCCCTTCATTGTTTTTATTTATTTAACATTTCATATTCTCGTTCTGCTAGCTTTTCCTTAACTATTTCATCTCATTAATGCAAATGTGTCCTTTCATAGTGCACATAAAGGAGTAGTGACAATGTTGTTGTGCTTCATTCTGTGACATTCAGATCATTAAGGTCTCCGAATTTTAAGACACATAATAGGTTATTATCCCCTCTTGTTATATTATTGTAAGATTCAAACCTTTGGAACAAGGCTGATATTATTAGAGTCAGCAAATGACTGACTACTCCAGTAGTGGTTTTTGACCTTATTATGTGGTGGAGAACATTACATTAAACGTGCTCAGCTAATCGTTTGCTGCTACCACCTTGAAAAGAAAAGGAAACGTAAGTTTGCAACTGCCGGTCTCTACTACGCTTTCCTTTTGTTCTCTCTCAGCCCTACCTCACGTACCTGTCTCTCTCACAGAACAAACCATGGACGCAGGATTACTTTGATTTCTCCCATGTAGTTTTATTGGGCTTGGAGATACGAGGGGATTAGCTTCCTTAATTTAGATCTTCAGTATACGAGGATAGATTGACTATATATTTGCAATATTTTTTAACTCTTATATTAAATACACATTTAAATTCATGTTACTTTCATTAAACTCTAAGAACTTTTTTATAAATTAGGTTAAAAAATAATATAAATTATATTTTAAAATTTTATTTAAAAACTTAAGTTTTTGGGTTGAGATGGTTCTTTAACACAGTATAAAAATCTTGATGACTAAGTGGTTATGAATTTCAATTTCAAAACTCTTATTTATTTGATAAAAATCAATCACAAGGTAACGTGGATCTATACAAGTTTTAAACCCAAAAAGTTTTCAATTAAGAAAGTGTGTTAGAGAATAATATAAATCATATCTTAAGACATTACCTAATAATTTAAACTTTTGGGTTAAGATGGTTCTTTGACAAATATTTCAAAAACCACAAAGAAAAAATAAATTGAATGAAAAATTTTCATCAGATATTACAAATCAAAGGAATAGATTTTAAATTAAAAAAAAAGTTCTATATTATGAAATGTATGGTTGATCTAGAAACTAAAAATACTTCATAAATATATATTTTGAAGGCTTTACAATCAGTTTACCATGATTTTATCATTAAATTGATTAAAAAATAAATTACTAAAAACATATAAAAGAAATTATGACTAGGATTGGGCTTGCAAGGATTTCACCAATAAGTTCGGAGAACCAGGCCCATGCACGTGTTGTACTTTAAAACTGCTTATGATAAATCACAAGGAACCACTAGATTTCAACCTTTTAAATTCAGCTTTTTCGCTTCAGAACATCTCAAAATCTGGAAAAAACTTTAAAAATCTTATTATATATATTGAAACATATTTTAATATACCTGAAAAAAACAAAATAAATTAAATTAAAAAATTCAAATATATTTTGGGATTTGAACACTCTGTTTTTTTTATTGAAAATAAATTAAAATTAATGTTTTTTAAGTGTTTAATTATGATTCTAATATGCTAGGTTAAAAAAAAACTTTAAAAAAGTATTATTTTAATATGTTTTCAATTAGAAAAACACTGTGCATTTTATTAACAAACACGTACTAAATCTACTAAATTCCCAAGATTTACTTCATGACCATTGGAGTTCATATAGCATATTATAAAAAGTAAAATTGAATAGAATTTTTTTTTCTATTTAAAATTGAATGGGTTCATGTTACTGTTTAAAATAAATCGTAATCCTGCTATAAAAAAATTGATGTCGTTTTCTACAAGGATTAGAGCAAACCAATGTCAATCTAGTTCAATATTCATTTCAATCCTTTAATTTGGCAATGTTAATTTCAGTCCTATGTAAAATGCCAAATGTTCAAAACAGTTCGTGCCATCTTGCTTTTAGAGAGACAGGATGGCTGGAGAAATGGAAAAAAAAAAAAAGGAAAATCACGAAACATCAGATTTTGGTTGAGAATAGGCTTATTTCAATCTTCATAAGATAAATATTAACCTCCTAAGTCGATTGTTGGTATTTAAAAGTTAATATATGGAAAGTTTGATTAGAGCTCCAATTTAGAGAGTAGAGCTCAAAATTATTGGTATTTCTTAGCCGTATGGAGGCATGAAATCTTTTAAAACCGTCATGTTTCTAGCTTGAAAAACCTCTTTTTATAGCAAATTTTTTTATATTTTATACCAAAAATCACATAACCTATATAGTAATAATTAAATAAATTATTGGTTGTGATAAGAAAAATAAAACTTTAACGTTTAAAAAAATTAAATTAAAAATAAAACAAATATTTATTATCAATTTAAAAACTCATCATTTTAAATTAAATTCATCTAAAAGAAAGACTGAAAAAAGAGACGGCTCTTTGCCAGGAGGTCATAAGATGGACAATATATACCATCCATGTTTGATTTTAGCTTTATGTATAATCATCTCAGTTTTTGGTCGTCTCAACACTAAGTTGTTGTGTCTCAACAACATATATGATTGTTCGAGCTTCAACTTATTATTGTACAATTGTCTGAAACTTTAGAGATTGAGTGTTGGAAATTGATTGCGAGTATCCAACGGTCAAAACATTATAAACACGTCGCAAATCTTGGATCATACTGTTTGAGATATCATAAACCTAATTTTTATCATATCAACTGAATGATCTAACCTCTAATCACAAATTTGAATTGAATTCTAGATGGATCGAAGCATTGTCTTTGTATCTTTCCTATAATCGAGTGGTATATGTTTTCTAAAAAAAAAAGAAATTAAGCAGTCAGCTAATTCAAAAAAAATAACTAAAGTTTTTTTTTTAAATTCAAATTACCATGAACTTCTAAGCTCGGCTATCCACAATCTGCTGCGCCTTTTTTCTGACAATCATCATTTTGCATGTGAGTTTCTACAAAAAGCTTCATCAATTTTAGTTCACTTTCAAGAATCGTAGCCTGTAAAAAAAAATTATTATTAGTCAAACATTTTTATATAAAATAATTTTTTTAAAAAATAGATGTAATAAAAAAGAATTTTACCATCTATTTCACATATGAAATAAGCGAAATGAATTCGCCGGTATACATTGTTGTGGAACCTTGAATCTCCTTGTTCTAGTTTTTCACATTGAATTGAAATTGCGGCAAAAAACACTCAGACATCAAACGCTAGATATATTTTGTCCATGTAGCCTCTCAGACGTGTGAAGGTATGAAATTTCTCTAAATTGTTTTGTCTTTTTAGCTCGGAAGATTTTTTTTGGCATATTTATTTTATTTAAAAAAATTATTTTTTATGTTAGAAATGAGTTTATTAAGGTATTTAGTTTGGAGGTGTTTTATCTGAAAAATATCATAAATCCACTTTTGAGGTAAAAACAAATCAGCAAATCATGAATTTTTAATTATTGGAATGCCACCGGATACCATATCAATTATCATGTCGGATGACTCGTCGTTTATGTTTTTAGTTTTTGTGGAAGTGGGGCCTTGCGCACGGGACATATTTGTGCTTCGGATTGAGATTGTAAACCTATTGCATCATCTAGGCCTGCCTCCCTATACATGTTTATATATTTTACCCCTTCAATTAAAATTTTATATAAGTTAAATATTATATATTTTTTAATTTCTCTTTGTTTAAAATACATCCATACTATTATATTAAATATTTATTTAACAATTTTAATTATTTTTAGCTTGTTTGTTTCTTTAAATTTCAAACATCCTCAGTATTATATAAATAATTATATAATTTTTTTCAGATAAATTATAATATATAAAAATAGCCAATTCTTTCTTATATTTTTTTCACTCCATCCATTAACAAGTAAAAATTTTCATGAAAATATTTTAATATTTAAAATTATATGATGATGAAAAAGCCCCTTAAATAATTTTTTTTTCATTTTAGACCTATAATTTTATTTCAAAAATAATAATAACTTAATGCATACATACATACTATCAATTAAAAATAACTTGAATCAAATATATTAATAAATTAAATTTATACTGTTCTCGGATGAAAATAAAAGGCATTGAAAATGCAGACTCAAAAATGATATTTGAGTGATTTATTAGAGAAAAATATTTTTTCCTTTATAAGAACATTATTCTACTATTTAATATTTATCAGTATTGATATCAATATGATATGTTTTTTCGGAGTATTTCTTCAAAAGTGAAATGTGAATTTTTTTGAATTAGATTTTATTTAATTTTATCTTTTTCTTTTGTATTTTTTTGAAGATCTAAATAAACAATATAAACAACTCTAAAAACACATACATCTTTGTCAGTTAACTTTAGATGAAATTTTTTAGTTTTAATATATGTGATACTTTTTAAAATTTAAGGATATTTTTTAACTAAATATTTCACACAAAGTTCTACTTTACTTTTAGGGGGTATTTTTTCTTATTAACACATAAAATATAAAATTTTAATAAAATAATATAGATGCAAAAAGAATTGGTGAAATAGTATAATTTATACTTGTTGTGGTTCTTCAATAAGTCATGATTTGTAAACTAAACATTTGGTAAATGTAGCTTTTTGAAACCGCAAAAGCCGCAACATCTATCAAACTGCAGATTGTTTTCTAAATTAATCCCTGACCTCTTAATCTTAAACAAAACCTAAACTATTTGTCAAACCCATTTTAATCCCTAACCATAAATAAGACCTAAACCATATTAATTATTAACTTGTAAATGATGATGATAACAGTAACAATACAACTCTAATCCAAAACATGTTTTAATCTGGGTTCTTTTCTTATAAAATTAAGCATTGCATTAAAAAACATTAATGTTTTTTGTTCCTATAATTTATTTAGTTTTCAAGTAGCTTATAATCAAATTTTATTTTAGATTTGTTGTTGAATTACATAACAACTATAATTTTTGTGTCATTTTTATTTTTTTTAACTAATTTTTTATCAAGCATTTTATAATCAAAGTTCTTTTTAAGGTTATGGTGAATTGCATAATAGATACAATTCTTTGGTTCATGACTCCTAATTAAAAGTTATTTGGAATGCAACATATCAATTTTTACTTCCATCACAGGTAAGTGCAAGAACTCAACAATATTTAAATTAAAATTAAACTCAACAAACAATCCTAACTATCTTTGTTCACATTATGACTTGTGAGATTTTGATTTTCAATTTTAGTACTTCAAATTAAATCCAAAAAACTATATTTGAATCTCATCTTAACCGACTCAAAAATATTACAAAACACAAAATTACAAATAAAATAGAACACATTAAAATTAATTACAAGCTCAGAATTAGAAAAATAACACAACATAAAACTCATAAATTACAAAATAACACAACATAATACATTGGTAGCGTATAAACAAGTCTATTTATCTATGCATACATTGTCTACTAGAGTACCTAGGTTAATTAATAGCACAGTTGTCACGTGCTTGAGTAGCCTCTTGATCCTCCTATAATAACAAATTAATCTAATATTCATCAAATAAATACATTAAAGGTTCCATAAATAAATAAAAATATCATTTAACATATATTAATTTTGAAGAGTTAGTATTATTTATAATATTTTGAATTCATTGTGTATTTTGCTCTTAAAGAGGAAACGGTTAGGTCTTAGATATTTTTAGATTGAAAGAAAGAGAAAGGGGATGGATAGGAGATTGTTCTACAGGGGAGAAGAAGAGGAGCTAGGGTTAGATTTCATTACATGTCGTTATTTATAATCATGACATTTTAAGTTACCGTGATTTAGAATTGTATTTTCAAACGCGAAAAGCTCAATCTGTGTTATTTTATATATAAAAAAAATGTATGTTATTCTATTATTTTTTTAATTTAATGTGCTAATATATATATATATATATATATATATATATATATATATTTTATAATTTAAAATAGAGA